CGTATGATACGGTCAAGAAAATCCTGGCTGAGAGATTCAACATGCCAGATATTGAGATCGAGGCAGCACACCGTACTGGTCGAGTGCCTAAGTCGCCAACAGACTAGCCTCATCACATCATTGCTAGATTCCTCTACAGATATGAACATCAGCGTGTGCTGACAGACTCTAAGACCAAGCTTGCCAGCACAAGGATTTACTGAGAGCAGTATTCTGTACAGCAACATTTCAGACCATTTACCGCTCTATCAGATATCTTCTTTTTATACCGGTAATAACAAATGCAATAATAATACGCACTCATATAGACATATAACAGCCGATAGACTGGAAAGATTTAGAATCAAGTTGAATAAAGCAAACTGGAACATTGCTTGTATGGATGATCCTAATCTTGCTTTTGATAATTTTCACTTTGAATTTTTAAAAATATTTGAGAATAGCTTTCCGCTAAAGAAAACGAAGTCAACAAAAAAAATTAAATCCTAGATGACGGATGGAGTCTTCAATTCAATTAATCACAAAAATAAACTCAACAACCAATATCTAAAAAATCCATCTAATAACAATTGTAACAAATACTTGGATTGAGTCAAACCAGGGCTACTAAAATCCATCATAACTAGCATACGTGATCCATTAAGTTACATTTTTAACTTATCTCTATCGAAGGGAATTTTTTCAGATAAATTAAAAATTGCTAAAGGTACCCCTATATTTAAAAAAGACGACCCCACTGAGCTTGGTAATTATAGACCAATTTCTGTACTATCCTGCTTTTCCCAAATTTTTGAAAAACTTGTTTACAATAGGACAGTGAAATTTCTAAACAAATATAACCTTATTTCTGATCATCAATATGATTTCTGACCAGGTTTCTCCCCTTCAATGGCACTTATCGACTCAGCAGACAAAGTTGTCAAAACCTTTGAGGAGAATGCTTTTTCAATTGGAATTTTCTTAGATTTATCAAAAGCATTCGATACTATCAATCACGGAATACTTCTTAAAAAATTAAATTATTATGGCATTCGGGGGGTTGCCCTTGAGTGGTTTGCAAGTTATTTAAATAATCGTAAACAATGTACTAAATTCAACAATTGCCTGTCTAGTTTGAAACCCATTTCATGCGGAGTACCCCAGCCTCTACTGGGACCTTTGCTCTTTTTAATTTATATTAATGATATCTCAAAAACATCAGACCTGTTATCTTTTATATTATATGCCGATGACACCAGTTTATTTTATCGAAACAAGGATATTAACTCTCTATATAATATTGTTAATACCAAATTGGTCAGTATATGTGATTGGTTAAAAGCAAATCGTTTATCTCTTCATTTATCTAAATGTAATTATGTAATTTTCAGTAAGAGGAAAAAGAAGAATGGACACAACTTCAATATTTTATTGGACAACACAATTGTAAAGAACGTAGAGAAATTTAGGTTTTTAGGTGTCATCATTGATGACAAATTAACTTGGAAATTTCATATTGATGAGATAGCAAAGTTTCAAAGAGAATTGGAGTAATTAATAGTTTAAAACATATTGTTCCATTTCAGGTATTAAATAATATTTACAGTTCATTGATACTTCCTTATTTTCTTATTGTAATATTGTCTGGGGAAATACATTCCCTACAAATCTATCTAAACTAATAAATCTGCAGAAAAAAGTTGTTCGAATTATCACAAATTCGCCTTATAGGGCCCACAGTCAACCCCTGTTACGTGAGCTCAAATACTGAAGTATTACAAACTTAAACCAATATCAACAAGCGTTATTTATGTACAAGTTTAAAAATAATTTGATGCCCGTAACAGATCCAAACATGTTTGTATTTAACTGTGGCTTGCATAAATACAACACCTGTTCGTCAACCAACCTTCATTTTCAGATACCCCAACACAGAACTTCTGCCTATCAATTTAACATGAAATACTCTGGTCCCAAACTTTAGAATATTACACCATCCTCACTAAGATTTTCAAGATCATATACCATCTTTAAGCGGCAACTTAAGATCTTTCGCATTTAAAGCAATATAATTTTCATTGTCACAATGACTACTTCTGATCATCTTCGTAGCCATGAAAATTACCTTAACCTTTTCTTTTCATAGTCCATCTTCAACAATTACTCTATAATTGCTTAGAGCTACAATTATTTGTTGTTTCTTGTATTAATATCTATGTATGTTTTGTTTAAGGGCATGCCTAACACAAGCTTTGCTTTTAAGGTGTTGCCACCTCTTCTGGCATATATATGTCTTTTAGACTTGTCTTATTATTATTTCTGCCACGGGAGGTGTCACAAGTCAGTGATATTTTACGCCAAGTGTTTGATTAATTTAAAGACACAAACTGTATGTTGCCAAGTTGGCCAAATTTCCTTATATGCCCTTTC